AAGAAGGCAGGTCTAGTTTTCCTTGTATGGAGCTAGAGAGTGGTGCAAAAAGTTTCACCTGCTTAATTTTGAGTTTCAGGCTGCTGCTAAAGGCACAGAAGCGGGATTTTTTTTAATAAAAAGAAGAAAAATGAATTAAAAAGGCTAGATCTTAAAAACAAAACAAAAAAACCTTTTGATTCACAGCTTTAAAAGCTTTTGGCTTGCATATAAAGCCAGACATCTGTTAATGAGAAAGTTGCAAGACACATTTCTAACAATCAAATAGGAATATCAACCTGGACACGTTTGTGTTGGCAGCCTGTGAAAGATTCGGCTTGGATCCCCAAAGCCTCTTGCAAAACCGCAAGAAAATGTATTATTATTATTACACACATTTCTCAGCTCCCATCATGAGTATATGTGCACACTCCCTTAGCATCTGGGCATATAGTATTTACATACTTGGATTATCTGTGGAAAATGCACACCTCGCTGAGGAGCCAAATACATCATATGGGAATCCTAAATAAAACTATATGGTGATTAAGCAGCATGCATGCCGGCTGAAGATGGTCATCATAGCTCTCTTCATCTTTTCTGCATTATGTCAACCACTGCAGGGGCATTCTACCTCCCCCCTGCAGAGGTGGTTTTTTAATGCTTAACATTAACTTCTAGGAGTGATTCAGGGATAAGGAGTGGATAGGATTTATACCACATTTAATCCAATAAGTATTCGCCTTCTGTTGTGCATATAATGAAATCTGACCAAGTAAAATACACCCTCCAGATATGTGTTCATCGAATAAAGAAATTGCTACACGCCCCCTCTGTACACACACAAAAGCAAACAAACTTGGGCTGGCTGCAGATATAAACATTCTGCCTTACAGTTTCTTGTTTCTTCTCTCTCTCTCTCTCTATATATAGATATTATGCAGCTGAAAAAACTCTATAGCCATAGAATGATGTGTTTTGGGATGCCACTGATATAGCACAACCCAAAGAGGAACTTTTTGCCCCATGATTTCAGAAACAAAGAGTTTAATCCCACCTAAAGACAGGATCCAATGTTGTCATCTAATGACCAGATGCACAAGGCAGATTTGCAGCTCTGAGCAACGTTGACTCTAATTGAAATTGAAATACTTTATTGTCACTTGTACAACTTGTAGACAGTGAGATTACACGAGCACCTCCCACTCAGCTCTCTTAGTCTTAATTCCCTCATTTACTGACGCACACCCACGAAACCCAAAAGTCAGTTGCCCTGTTGTTATCCTTTCATTCAGCAGCCTAACAGCCCATGGATAGAAGCCATTCTTTACCCTGTTGGTGTGACTAATCATGCTTCTATATCTTCTGACCGAGGGCAGGAGATCAAGAAAGTGCCAACCAGTGTGTGAATCATCCCTGAGAATTTTCCTCACTCTCCTGAGGTAACGTTCTTTCGCTATTTCATCCAGCGGATTCACGGGACAGCCCATAATATCTTGTGCTGTATTCACTACCCTCTGCAGGCACTTCCTATCAGTTGATGTCAAACCAGCGTACCACACTGTGATGCTTTTTATAGGGACCTCAAGGTCAGGATGCCCTCAATGGGTCCACTTCTTTATCACCACTGTTACCACCCATTCATTGGTTCTTTTCCGCTGAGGCCAATTTCCATGAGAAGCAGAGAGGAGGCTGCGAGTAAGCAAGCAGCAAAGGGCAAACAGGTAGTGGCAGAAAGAAGGAAGGGCTCTTTCTAAGTGAGCCCCTTGGCACAGTCTTTGTCAGTGGTGTCCCTGTGGCTCCTGCCTTGGAAGAGACTCAAGATGAACTCTGACAGAGGGAGGCACACGGAGGTCCTGGTGGAGAGGCGAGATGAATAACTGCAGAGGAGCAAATTGACCTGATGTAGGGTTGCTCAACCCCCTCCTTGCTCCTGTTTTCCCCCCATGTGTGAATTGGACTATCTCCCTTTCTGCCATCTCAATGGTCCATCCTGATATGGTCCTGAGAGCTTAACTGGCAGACTTTTTTGGGGGTGAGGCAGAATTTAGGATTTGGGTTAAATAACACGCGGGTAGCGCTGTGGGTTAAACCACAGAGCCTAGGACTTGCCGATCAGAAGGTCGGTGGTTCAAATCCCCGCGATGGAGTGAGCTACCATTGCTCGGTCCCTGCTCCTGCCAACCTAGCAGTTCAAAAGCACGTCAAAGTGCAAGTAGATCAATAGGTACCGCTCTGGCGGGAAGGTAAACGGCATTTCTGTGTGCTGCTCTGGTTCGCCAGAAGCGGCTCAGTCATGCTGGCCACATGACCCGGAAGCTGTATGCCGGCTCCCTCGGCCAATAAAGCGAGATGAGCGCTGCAACCCCAGAGTCGGTCATGACTGGACCTAATGGTCAGGGGTCCCTTTACCTTTAACACATTGAAATGTCTTGTGTGCAGGGATGGGTGAATCTATCGCACTCTAGATGTTGAACTACATTTCCCATCATCCCTGGTCATTCTAGCTGTGGATCAAACAACTTCTGAAGAGCCACAGTTTCCCCATCCCTACTTTAGATAATAAGAAAAAAATACCTTACCAAGCAACACCTGATAATCCTGACCCAATATCTCCCAAATCTCCTAATTTTTTTTAGATTAAAAGTTATTACTTTGTAGGACTTTGTCTAAATATTGTTGTTGGCCTGGCCCTTCTGCCTTTATCATTTGATAATTTGACCTTCCATTCGATTGATCTTGCCTTTATCAAGAGAGCTAGCGTGGTGTAGTGGTGAAGAGCAGTGGACTCGTAATCTGGTGAACTGGGTTCACTTCCCCGCTCCTCCAGATGCAGCTGCTGGGTGACCTTGGGCTAGTCACACTTCTCTGAAGTCTCTCAGCCTCACTCACCTCACAGATAATAATTTAATAATTTATTATTTATACCCTGCCCATCTGGCTGAGTTTCCCCAGCCACTCTGGGCACCTCCCAATCGAGTGTTAAAAACAATACAGTATTAAATATTAAAAACTTCCCTATACAGGGCTGCCTTCAGATGTCTTCTAAATGTCAGATAGTTGCTTATTTCCTTGACATCTGATGGGAGGGCATTCCACAGGGCAGGCGCCACTACCGAGAAGGCCCTCTGTCTGTTTCCCTGTAACTTCACTTCTCGCAATGAGGGAACCACCAAAAGGCCCTCGACGCTGGATCTCAGTGTCTGGGCTGAATGATGGGGGTGGATATCCTTCAAGTATACTGGGCTGAGGCCGTTTAGGGCTTTAAACGTTAGCACCAACACTTTGAATTGTGCTTGGAAACTTACTGGGAGCCAATGCAGTTCTCTCAGGACCGGTGTTATGTGGTCCCAGTGGCCACTCCCAGTCACCAGTCTAGCTGCCACATTCTGGATTAATTACAGTTTCCAAGTGTTTGTTATGGGGGAGGAAGGGAAAGGAGATTGTTAGCTGCTTTGAGACTCCTTAAAGGGAGTGAAAGGCAGGATATCAAACTCCTCCTCCTCTTCTTCTTCTAGAGACAACAAACTCAAGGTTATGCAACTAAGCATGGTTACTTACAACAAAATCATATGCCTGTTTACTCAGAAGTAAGTTCCTCCAGCACTGGGTTCATGGGCACTTACTATCAAGTCAGTGGGGATGGAATTGCAGCCCGAATCAACTGAACATGCAGCCCGAAACAACTGAACTTGCATGGGGTGATGTGTGCTTTGCTGCCTGATTCCCATTCTTGACTTTTCAAGATCTGGGACATTCCTGGTCACGTCTATTCCAGGAGTTACAATCTTTAGAATTGTGAGCCAGTAAATTTGAAGAAACAAAGCAGGATGTTTACATCTTCACCCAACCAACTATTTATTGGCTGTACTCACATCCCCTGGGACTATTTGGATATGCATGCATTTTCAAATGTTCATTTGCTAGTGTTTTCCCCTCCCCTTATGGCCACCAAACACCAGTTGAAATGAAATTGGAGTCTTTCCATTTGCTTCAGTGGGCGTTGGATCAGTTCTCTTGTGAGTAATGAAATGTGCAGGATTTGTAACTGAAATGGCACAAAAGTAGCTGAAAATAGCAGCTGGAAATTTCTATTTTGATTGAACATAACACAGATTTCTCTTTCTAGAAAGAAAAACAAAATCAACCTGCCGAATGTAACTTATGTTTAAAGTGTTATATTTATAAACTTGATGTTTATTGAAGAAGCCTATTGTGTTGCTTTTTTATAAAGACACAAGACGATAGAAATAAGATAGAAATGAATTACTAGCCTCCATTACAAATTAGACAAAATGTCTAATTGTATATAGATATACAGTGGACGCTCAGGTTGCAAACATGATCCGTGTGGGATGCATGTTCGTAATCCACAGCAGCACGTCTGCACATGCACAGGTTGCGATTCGGCGCTTCTGCACATGCGTGACCCCCGAAACCCAGAAGTAACCTATTCCAGTACTTCCGTGTTTCAGCGGGTCCACAACCTGAAAAAACGCAACCTGAAGTGTCTGTAACCCAAGGTATGGCTGTACACACTTTAAAGGTTTTGGGTTTGTTTGTTTTAAAAAACACCACCACCAGCCTGTCAAATTGAAAATGTGACAAAACTGTTTTTCATAACACATTAAAATGACTTAACAAGAAATAAGTTCACACTCTTTTATGGTGCTGGCTGGTGAACGTCTGCTCAGAAGCCCCATTAAGTTCCATGGCGCTTAGTTCCAGGACTGTGTGCATAGGATCAAAGCCCTAAGAAGTCTCAAGGAATTGGGTTTGTTTGTTTGTTTTTTAAAAAGGAATCCATATTTTGCATTTTATAGAAAACCAAGCCATAAGACGAGATCTAAAATACTTAGCATCCCCAAAGTACCGTAACAGCTTCTATAAACTGCTTTAGGGTGAGGCTTTATGAGAGAGATTCAGCTACCCACACACAATGTAATGAAACAGTCAGAGTCCTCCAAGTACATTTGGATATTCTTGTCTTAGAGGAGCATGAAAGCAATAAGGCATTAAGGGGAGTGCCATAGATCAGTGGTAGAACATCTGCTTTGCATGCAGAAGGTCTAGGTTCAGACCCTGGTGTCTCCAAGAAGGGCTAGGGAATGTCTCCTGCCTAAAATCTTGGAGGACTGCTCAGCTGGATGAACCAATGGCGTGGGCGACTCAGTATAAAGCTCAGTATAAGACTCAACATTTTGCAGAGACAGAGGCACAATAGTTTATATTAGTACTGCAAGTGCATATTGTTGAGAGCTCTTTATCAGAATCTGCACTGAAAAAATAGGATTCCTGTTTCAATGGATATATCTTCTTCTTTGGTGATCACTCATAGCCAAGTAAGATTACCTTCCATAAACACAGTTTTAACTATGAGTCCGTAAATGACTGTGGAGGCCAATTCTGGATCCACGTGTCTTTCCACAGTGGGGACATAGGTTTCCAGGTGGGAGTTGTTCACGGTGAGGTTTTGCCAAGCATGCCTTCCTCTTAGCACATTTCTCCCTTGCGTCCTGAGTTCGAGTGTCTTTGAAGCCCACAACACCTTTGGTAAAGGCTGTTCTCCAATTGAAGTGCTCGCAGGCCAGTGTTTCCCAGTTGTCGGTGTTTATACTACATTTTTTAAAATTTGCCTTGAGACACTCTTTAAACCTCTTTTGTTGACCACCAGCATTATGCTTTCCATTTTTATGTTTGGAATAGAGTCGTTGCTTTGGAAGACGATAATCAGTCATATATACTACGCCAGGCATAGGCAAACTCCGGCCCGCCAGATGTTTAGGACTACAATTTCCATCACCCCTAGCTAACAGGACCAGTGGTCAGGGATGATGGGAATTGTAGTCCCAAACATCTGGAGGGCCAGAGTTTGCCTATGCCTGTACTACGCAGTAAGGCCAATAGGCAGCAAAACAGAGATCCAGCCCTGAATCTTTATAAAGTACGTTGTTGAGACAAGGCAGCCATAACTTCTGCCATACATTTCCCCTTGTGTCCTTGTGTCAGCTTTCTCCTGGGACAGGGACACTATGGGGAATCCATAGCCACCACTGTCAGAAGTCAAACAGTGGCTCAATTTACTCTTCCTCGTCATTCGTCTCTCCTGTCTGCCCTTGGCCAGTGGCAGCAGAGCTGGGTAAGAGAGTGGAGAAAAGGCAGGCCAAGAACAGGAACTTTACAGCTCACACTCTAAATTTAGTGGCCGGTGGGGTGGGAGGAGCAAGGATAAGAGGTGATGATCTGTGCAAAGCGCTGATTGGTTCAGTCAAAATTAGATGTGTCCCCTTCTCACTGCTGCCAGAGAGCATAAAGTGCCCCAGCCTCACACAGGAAAGGCAAAAACAATATCTAGTACTCATTTCTCCTGGTCCTGTCTCCGTATTTAACATTTTTCTTTTCATTCATCATTCCTACTTAGCACTGAAGGCATAATCAGTTTCCTTCCTTTTAAATAGATTATCAATGTAGCTTCCTCCTGCTGCACCAAAAAAAGAATGACAACTTGCTGCTTTAGCTTTTTCCAAAATAATATGCCGTTGCCTGTGGCATGTAATCACTGCAGGCATAGGCAAACTCCGGCCCTCCAGATACTTGGGACTACAATTCCCATCATCCCTGACGACTGGTCCTGTTAGCTAGGGATGGTGGGAACTGTAGTCCCAAACATCTGGAGGGCCGGAGTTTGCCTATGCCTTAAGACCAGGCATCCCCAACCTTCGGCCCTCCAGATGTTTTGGACTACAGTTCCCATCATCCCTGACCACTGGTCCCGTTAGCTAGGGATCATGGGAGTTGTAGGCCAAAACAACTGGAGGGCCGCAGGTTGGGGATGCCTGCCTTAGACTGATTGCAAGCCAACAAATGCAGATTGATCAGAACCAGCAACACATTAAAACAACAGCAACAGCAACAGCAACAGCAACAGCAGCAGCACACCGACAAATTATATGTGGTGTGTTAACAATGTAGGAATTGAACAGCCTGTTGATTCTGTGATTGATAAGATTCTTCTTTTGCTGAAATTTCTATACAGGACAATTTCCACAAGACAATGGTTGTGTACACACATTTCAGCCTTGGAGGCGCCACAGTTTGGGGTTCTTCTAAGAGTGTTTTTGTAGACGTCACTCTGCAAATGTAGTGTGGTTTAGTGGTTAAGAGCAGTGGACTTGTAATCTGGTGAACTGGGTTTGATTCCCTGCTCCTCCACATGCAGCTGCTAGGTGACCTTGGGCCAGTCACACTTCTCTGAAGTCTCTCAGTCCCACTCACCTCACAGAGTGTTTGTTGTGGGGGAGGAAGGGAAAGGAGAATGTTAGCCGCTTTGAGACTCCTTCAGGTAGTGATAAAGCGGGATATCAAATCCAAACTCTTCTTCTTCTTCTACCTACACACCGTGTCCTCTAGTGCATATTAGTTTCTGTGCTCCCTCCCCTTCCAACGACCCTCACACTGTTTACTATAGAGATGCTACCTGGGTAGCAAATCATAACTGCATTTATTCACAAGCAAGTTCCATGGATTTCATTGATGCTTGCTTGCAAGCAGGTATGCTCAGGATTGTGACCTTGCAGTCCCAGAAATATATATATGTATAGTAAACAATGATTTAATATTATTAAATCAATTAACCAGGTGATGCCTCATATCCCGTGATTGTTAATTCTGGTTCACTTGCAACATACACACATGAAGTAGGACTCAACAGTTTTGCTGTCTTATCTTCAGATGATTGCAATGAAAGAAAATTAGCATCTGGTACAGAAAAAAAAGAATGTACATGCACCCCCTTATTTATGCTTATGAAAATATAGAGAGATTGGTATTTTATAATTACTTCCCCAGAATTCACTTGGTATTAATACAAGTGGGACATGCAACATTATATTACTATGTGGAGCAACTATGTTCAAGCCAACTATTCTTTTAGGAGACGCCATTCCCTCTCACCCCCAGATGTTCAGAATTATGTGGCCACTTACTATGCTCAGTTATCATTGGGTGGTTTGTGAGTTTGTTTCCCCACCCCCCAAAATATTTGTTGAATTTCTGCAGACCAACAATGCTAATGACCCCCTCTTGTTTCTCAGCAGCTCTGTCCTGGTTACAATCCTGCCAGCCTTCACTGGCTGAATTTACTGTCACTTTTGCTATGCGCACATCCCAATTTTCATACCATGAGAAGTTTCAGGGCAGCAGAGTTGGCTTTAGGGCATCACGGCCGCTGTGATCATCCTGGGCACCATGTTGCAGGGGGCACCAAAACAATACTGTAGAACGGGGAACGAGAGGCAGGTGGCACTGAATTTTAGAGTCCGAAGTCTGCCACCGAAGGCAGTCCAGTGCATGCCCCAGGTCGGTTTCCTTTGAATGAGGTCATCAGAGATTTATGGTGTTCCTCTGAAATAAGGTTTCATCTCTACAAATACAGACTGAGCACAAGAGGTGAATTCACTGCATTGACTCCAACAGATATTGCTCCCCATCATATATATATATATATATATATATATATATATATATATAGCAACACATATAACATATTTACTTATCTTATACAATGTTTTGGACTTCCATCAACCATGTCTGAAGATTTTTCATCTTATCACTTAATCTACATTTCTTAATTTCCTTATTACTTTTAATTGTCCTTAACTAATAATTATCTTCGTAATCTTCTCTGCAATATTTCACATAATCCTCCTTACAAAACTTCTTGCAGTCCTGCTAGCGTAATCTGTTTATTACAATTGCTTTTCAAATAATTCAGATGTTTTCTCCAGTCCTCTGAGAATCTCTGGTCCTGGAGGTTTCATCTTGTCTGATTCTGCATAGTCCATTAATTTCGTCTGCCATTCTTCTTTCGTCGGTAATTCTTCTTGTTCCCCATCAGATTTCTAATAGAATTCCAAGTGTGCCAAGTTTAGATTCTCACTGAGCAAAACCCAGACCTCTGTGTCTCTGTGGATACAGTGCTTATGCAGTCTCAGTTTCAGGACTGCCAGTCTATGGTTCTCTTATTTACACATCATCTTGATGACACCACCTGCCATGGGGAGGCAGAGGGAAGCTAAGCCCTCATGTTGCTCCTTCCAGGAATAAAGCATCCATTGAGAGTCACCTCCTTCAGGAAGACTGGGGAGTTCAAGATAACCTGGCTCCCTCTCCCCTGACCAAACCTCAGCCTTGCAACCAGGAATCACAGGGCTGAAAGGGACCCCTCAGATCACACCCAGACTGGCCCTCTGAACTTAACAACAACATGAATGATTTTTACAATGTATTACTGACCCAAACATCATATGAAAGTTAACAGACACAGTAACACATCTTTTACTCAGCACTTGTTAGGCTTCAAGATACAGGAATACGATCTCCTGTTTTAAATCCAAACCAACTGTGTGAAAAGGGAACTAGAGGAGAGAATGACCAAAAAAATAAATGATAAGAGTTTTGAAAGCAGGCTGGGGAAAGTGGAGAAAATGAAAAAGACAGCAACTGTTTAGAAGCAGCAAGCCTTGCCATGAGATCATTATTTTCTCCAGCTATGGACCCCCTTGCCCATGCTAGGCAAAACTTCATAGGCTTTTCTGCATATGCAAAAGCATTATCTATTATTATTTTTAAATAAATATATAGCACTTTAATTGTTTGAAAGCTAAGGAAAACCCACATTCCCACCTCAATTTTATAATTTGCTCAGTATTTTCTTTGAGGTGCTCAGTTAAATAAGACTAAGAATTACATTATAATGACAGATTTAAAGAAAAAGAAAAAACACAGTTCAGGCGATATATTGCCAGTATCCTTTACACAACATTTTCTATCTCTGTGACTTGTATGTAACTGGCACCATGTACTAAATGCATTTATATGAAGCAGATAGTGCTAAATTCACAATGGGGGAACCACCAGAAAACCCTCAGAGCCCAACCTCAGTATCTTGGATGAACAATGCAGATGGAGACGCTCCTTCAAGCAGACAGGGCCAAAGTTGTTTAGGGCTTTAAAAGTCAATATGGGAAAATGGTGGTTTGTGCAAACCACAGTTTGTTAGCAGGCCAATTCATTAAATCAGAGTCAGATTTACA